CTTCCTCTAGCCGCCCTGGCACGTGTGAGTGCCATCCCCAGCAAGGTTTCCTCTAGCCACCCTGCAATATGCAAGTCAATCCAAAAGCATCTGACTTCTCTGTTGAAAGCAGCAAATCGCAGCACCTTGAAATACTGAACTCTGAGGACATTCATTATGTGCAAGAGCACCTTATGAACATCCGCCTTGGCGTATGCAGTTATACAGTGTCCTCTGTCATTTGTGTGAACTGCTTAGTTCAACAGTGCACAACTATTTACCACTGCTGCATTCTGTTGCATTTTTCTCAAAGTTAGCATCAAAAAGATCTGATGCGCAGACTTGATTGATCTTGTATTCATCATTTTATCGTGTAGCCATTGATCGATGGTTTCTTGCACTATGGCTAGGCATGATGCGTTTTCCCAGAGTTAAAGAGTGCAACTATTACCATCAGTCAAAAGTTTGAACCGACTCAATCCGAACCTGGTTTGTCATTGTTGCTGAATAGTGATTGGCTGACTTAATTGATTGTCTCTGCAGGTGAGTCAGGTGCGTTTGCCCAGAGAAGGTGACAGGCTGAAAGGTTTTGGATACGCTGAGGTGGATGACATGGAATCTCTTCTGGCAGCACTGGCTCTCAATGACCAGGTGTGCTTCTTTACCCGTCCTTCACCCAATTGAAGGGGTTGCAGGCCAACTCGACAAAACGTCTCGGCCACAGAGGAATGTAATAGTGCCTTGTGACACATGTACATGATGATCTCGAGGCGGGAATATCATGATATGGAAACAAGATAACAAAACTGTGTTTTATACTTTTATGCAAGTGAATAGAGGCAGAAAGGCAATTGTTGTGGCAGTGATTAAAACGTTTGTATTTTTTCCCTCCCCCAGACAATTAGATCAAGGCGTATTCGAGTGGATCTGGCAGGCCAGGGACACCAAGGTATGATTTTGACATATTACAGATTGCAGATAAACTGGAAGTCGTATATTTTCGTCATCTTGATCAGGATTGAATTAATTTTTCATTAAAAGTCAATGGAAGTGTTCTTTATAATGTTGGTCTTTTCTTATGCATTCGATTTTTATGTAGTTATCTTGTTTATCAAAGACCAACTTTTTAAACTGAAGTTTGAATAAATAAATAAGACTGGTGGAGTGGATGACAGGGTCTGGATCTCATAACCCTAAATCCTTGAGCTGCGGCATCTTCAACCCCATAGAGTGCAGTGCAGGAGTGGAATTTGTTGCACTTGAGGAAATTTTGAATCACAGAAGTAATAATGCAATGACAGTTTAGCACTGACTCCCTCAGTACACAAAGTTGGTCACGATGAGGGCTGGTGATAGGGGAAGCAGGTTGACATTGTGCTTCTCTCCTGGCCTTCCAACTCTTCAACCATGAACCCCAATCCCATCTAGATCAGCAAGTGCCTTGGCTTTTCATTCTTGGATTCTGTGGGGTTTCCCTTGAATGTTTGCCTCGGGGTTTTTCCTCCACCCATAGAACTGACTTTTTTTCCCATTGTAATCTTCACTGTCTTCATCATCCTGTAGTTGGTATTTGCGCTGTTGGGTAAAGACAAAATAAAAACAGAAAGATTACGATTATCCTAATGGCCAGCAGTTTTATGGCTCTAAACCTTGCTGAAAGCAACAACATCCGTGCACAACTTGGGGTAAAGTGAGCACCTTGCTAAGTCTAACAAGAACGGACTGGTCAAATCGTCCAAGATCAAATCTTAAAGGTGTAATGGTGACAGAGTTCCAAGGGGCTAGCTCCTATTATCCTAGCGTTCTGTAAGTTCTAATGTTAACCCCAGTAGGGACTGCTAACATATTGAAATGGGGATGTCGGGCAGAAACCTTTGCATGGGGTTTAGAACCCTCGTAAGGACCTCCCCCTACATTTTCTTAGTTCAGATCTTGTGTTCCACAGCATTTGAGACATAGTTTGTTTTTTTTCTTAACAATTGAAAGCAGTTTCCACATTCGTCGCCATTTTTTTTTCCTCCACCAAGATGAGCAAGATGGAATATTCAGAATGTAAATGTAGCACCCAAACTGTTAAGCTTGGCGGCCCAATTTCAAAGCTCAGCGGCTACCTTTTAAACTTGGTGAGAGGCAAGCGAAACCCGGTGAGCTACCAGGCTCCTTCAGTGTGTCGGAGGATACATGGTTACTGCTTGTGTTTATTGCTTATTATATGCATGTTTAACCTTCCACGGATATCTGCTGCAGTCTTACATTTCTTTGTCAGGTTTGGGGGGGGTTGTCTGTATGTAGGTTGCATTTGTATTTGCCGCCTAACTATTCTCAAATTGACCACTTGTCCTCAGATGGAAAAGAGGATCGTACCAACAGTGACTGGAGGGCTCGAGGCAACGACGGCGGCACAAGCTTTGGCAGAGGTACCTATGTCACTGTCAGATTAAGACCCTCTCCACCACATTTAATACTTTCATACAGATATTGAGTGGCACTGTGCATTGTGTGAACAGGAACTAGCTGGATGCAAGTATGTGCGTCAGGAAATTGCAGAAAGGTTTTCCTAGAGAGACATCATCTCATGTCCAACCACGAGATGAAATATAACTGGTTGCTTGGAGGTAGTTTTATAATGTAGTTTTGTCAGTGTTTTCTGAGGACTTTGACGCACCAGTAGGCTAGTCACCCAATGAGCTGGGTGGTTCAAGATGTGTGGTTTTTGTCAGCATGAGTGTTGGTTAAGTGACTACGAAGTTTACCGGAAAGAAGGGGTTTGTGGGATCAAGTTTTTAACAAGCGTTTTGAAGTGGACAGTTTCTCATAGGCCCTTTGAATGTCAGAGGTATAATATGCTCATAACTTCTGTCATTGTCAGTGAACATGAGGCAAAAAGCTGGCATTGCAGTGATCTTGAGTGACACGTGACTTCTGCAAGTCCTTTGTTGTTTGCAGGGGATGATCGGCGAGGCAATAGGTACTCAGACCGATACCAAGACAGGTCAAGTTATGATAGATATGGGGACGCCGACAGAGGCTACGGCTTTGACAGAAGGACAAACGATGGTAAACATCGATTCTCCGGTCTGTTTTGATTAGCCAGGTGTAGCTCGGTTGTGCTGGTGTTGCAGACCTGTGACCAAAATACCCAATAGTGTAGAAGGCACAGCGTGCATTGCTCAGAAAGCCAGTCCTCTTGGGTTTTCTTTTATATGTGTTTTGGGCAAGTCCTGCTCTGCCAAAGGAGAGAGGTAGAGGGGTCTTGTCACACCCCTCCCTCGTAATTTTGCACCTGTAGCTGATGGGGGAAATGTGTGTAGTATGTGGGGATTGCCTAAGGTTCACATTGCCCAATGTTCATTAGTCTACTTCATTCCATTTCTTTTCTTGACAGGTTCATATGGTGGAAGAAGAAATGATGGTAAATATTTTATATTTTTTTACTGAAAAGAAATCATTCTCTGGCAAGAAATGAAAAATGGGTTGTAAGTTTTTGTATAATCTAGGTTTCTGGTCACCTAATCTTCTATCGTCTATGGTACAAAACATGAAATGTGTTTTTAGACAAATAATCAATTGCGGTTGTCCGGAAGTGAAAGTTTTGCATGAATCAGTATGTGTTTCTTTATATTTTTTTTACCAGCAACCTTTGTATACGTACATGTTTGAGCCATTTGACCAGAATATCACTTATGACTTGGTAGGATAGAATCCACTGAAATTTCACCAATGGCGTCGAAAGAGCAAAAAGGACAAATCATGCATTCTTGTTACATTTTGGCAACGGGAAATTGCACACAGAAATTGGAGTAGCACCCACATTGTTTTTATTTTGATCTGTTGATACAGAAAACAGGACAGCTTTTGCTTAGTCTTACTTGTATTTTTCATATACTGCTAGGGCTTGAATTTCATTTAAAAAGGCCCATGACTTCTGGTCCATTGGCTCCTAAAATTCACTGGACAAAACACATTTGGAAAACTGTTGCAGTATTGGCTGTGTAGGGGTTCGAAAGTGTTTATCGTGAGAATGACTGACCCCCCAAAAAAATGGACCACTGGACCTGTTTAGTCATGAGCCACACAAGATTGAGAGATTCATCGGATATGGTCCAGTGGTCCAGTGCGGCACTCAAAATCCAACTTCCCACTTTAACAGTTTATTTTTTGGGATGCATACATTTGAATGTACCACTTTGGTACATTTCCTTACAGATGGCTTCGGTAACAGCGGTGGTAGCAGTGATGATAATTGGAGGCGTCCACCTGCTGAACAGTCGGGTGGTCCCAGTGAGGGCCGTGGGGGAGGTTGGAGGTTCGATGAGCGTGGCCGAAGCGGAGGCTTTGGAAACGACAGAGACCGCGGATTTGGCAATGATCGGGGCTACAGTGGAGATCGGGACCGCGGCTATGGCTTTGACAGGGACCGTGGCTATGGGGGTGACAGAGATCGCAGCTATGGTGGTGACAGAGATCGAGGTTATGGCGGTGACAGAGATCGAGGTTATGGCGGTGATCGAGATCGAGGCTATGGCGGTGATAGAGATCGAGGTTATGGTGGTGATAACTACCAGGGTGGTGACCGGGATCGCGGGTATGACCGTGGCCATGACGACAGGGGAAGGGGTGGTGGGGGCTTCGGTGGAGACAGAGACCGTGGATATGCCAACGACCGAGGAGGCTATGGAGGTGATCGCGACTGGGGTGACAGAGGGGGCAGGTCACGAGGATTTGACAACTATTCTGAACCTCGTGACAGGGGCTACGGAGACCGGGATCGTGACAGAGGGGGATACAGGGACAGGGATTATGGTAAGTTATACACACTTCATTTTCCTGCAGTGGAGATTTCCTGTGAGGAAGGAGGTACAGATAGATATCACCCATGTTGACCTTTGACGGGTATACTACAGGTCAATTTAGGCACAGTTCATCTGGAAGGCTAGTAGTGATGATGGAAGCGTTGTAATGGCAGTCGCACAAAGTCATTGACCCGGACAGGTAGCAGGCACAGGGCTTTTGCTGTCGTTAACCACTTCCTGCCATGTGGAATTTGCATATGTGGGAATAGTTTCCGGGTGATTTTCAAAATTTCCTGTTCTCAAAATTCTTCAAAAATTCATAACTTCATATCCTGGACTCTTAAACTCACTGAATGACTGTCTGGTGGCTACTCTAATCTGACAGGCAAACTCCGTTGACGCCCGAGTATTGCAGCCAGGCCTGCTGCCCAGTAAAGAGAGCTCACAATTGTGCAGTGTTGCGTAATTTCTTTTGTTCCCAAAATTGACCCTGTGCGTTGCTGAATGGCAGTGGTGTCTTCAAATACGGCCAGATTAGGGTGCGTGGTACTGTATCGCTCATCGCCGGAGTGCTGGAGCATGTTTGACCCCGCCAATAATCCGCGGGCGCTGAATGCCACAAACAGTGGTATACTATTTCAAAACAGTGACGGATTGCCTCCGCTAATGCCAGCAATCTGTGCTGAAATATGTTGGCGATTCCCAGCAGCTTGGTCTTTTGTTCTGAGTACTGGGACAGTCTTTTGTTGCAAGGCCTAGCTCCTTTGTCCAATTTTGGGCACCCTGGCTATGCGTACAAACCTAAGGTCTCCGATACCAGGAACCCCAGCACTGAGTGGGTAATGATAGCCACTTGTTTGGTCCATCTGTTTGTTACTACATCACCAGTGCCGTTAACTCACGCAAGGCAAATGACCTTATCGTAACCAGAGCCTTATTCTAAGAGGAACAGAAGAGCCAAGAAAACAAAAAACATTCAGATAAACTCTTCTTCAGATGTTGCTTTTTCTAACATCAAAAAAGCATTTTTTATATCAGGATTCCTGTGAAATGTTAACATAAGTTTTAGATACTTCACCTAGACTATCATTGAGGGCACATGCTACTCCAGAATTTTTTCCCCAAGGATGGATACTTCAGTCCAAGGTTTATCTGTCTTCACCTTTCTAGTTCAAGAACCTGCCCCAAGCAGATAATGTGGGCCTTCATTGCAAGTAACTCTTTTTTGCTAACAGGGGACAGAGATGGCAGACGTCCATACGGGGGTGGGGGCTTCCCAAGAGGGGTGGAACGAGAAGACTCCAGGGAAGGCGGCGGCAGCGAGCAGGGTTTGTTACTCAAGAAATGCTCGTAGATAAATTATATTCAAAACAATTTGTTTGCATATTTCTGTCTGCTTCAGCTGGTCATTAGGGCCCATGTGCTCAATTTGTCACCGCGTCATTGCCTTTGGTTTTTGTGCCGAATTGGAGTCAATGGAATGCTGAAAGCAACCTTGCATAGGTAATATGTGGCAGTAGACATAAACTCTTTCAGCACCTGACATAATGTGACAGTGAAATATAATCAGAAAATTTAACTTGTCGTTTACCTCATATCTTAAAACTCCCAGCCTTTTGTGTGACAACTTGACATTGACACACAAGTGGTTGTAGACGGACAGATCGGTACGGTCAGACTGATGAGCAGGTGAACAGACAAACAATTCATGTTTGCAAGACTAGTTGAGAAGTTCGAGTGATTACATGCAAATATTTTCCCTCCTGACAGAAGGCCCTCGTGAACGCAAAAAGCTTGTCCTGACGAAGCGATCGGAGCAAACCACTGAAACGGTGCCGCCAAATAAGGCGCCGTCCTCCTCGTCCATTTTCGGCGGAGCCAAGCCGGTTGACACTGCCGCTCGCGAACGGGCGATTGAGGAGAGGCTAGAGCGGGAGAAACGACTAGAGGAACAGGAGAGGATGAAATCGGAGAAGGACAAAGAGACCATGATCAGGAGGGAAAGGTAGGGGCAGTCTAAACACGATTTATCATCTGTTGGGTCAACGGTGCCTCCTGAGGTGTGGAAACAATGCCCAATATATGTGAGCAGGCACATTTCATTTGGCCCTGCTCGTTAGCCAGAGTTGACTGTAGAAACTCAGTCATTCTGAGCAGAAATCTACTAACAGCGTGTGATTGCTTGAACATGTCAGTTGGTTATGTTGACATAATCTCGAGGGGGGTTTGCACAGGAAGCACGTGCTAGAATTGAATCGCTCACCTGAAAATGAGCTTGCCGTGATTTTTGGAGACCCTGGACTGTGCATTTGACGGCCAACACGTACAATTATGAAGTGACTTCAGCCCAACTACACATACATAGACCTAACCAGTCTGCGGGGTATGTGTGGGATGGCACAGACAGCAGGTTGTCCTGAGCTCCAGGTTTTCCTCATACATAATTGAGTTTGTCTACAAAGGCTCTCACGCGTGGCTCCTGACTTGTCAAAACCTGGACATAAAAGAGCTTTTTTCTTGCAAAATAAATGATTGGATAAAATTGGAAATCCTAGATGGGCATATAAGACTATGGAGACACCTTGAGGTACACATTCATTAGAGTGCATTTGCAGTAGCTGAAGGGACCACAAATAGTGTACCCAGGGGTGTGATTTGTCCAGATTTTTCTGGATTTCCAGGATTCTTTGTGGGACTGTCCGAAATTTCTGTGAGACTTTCTGGATTTCCGTATTGTCAGTGCTTTCAATATGTAACGTTTTTACTCCCCCTGGAGTTGCGCCAGATACGTAGGTAATAGTACATTGGACGGAGGGGGTATCATTGTTAAAACATAGAGACCCAGGCCAGCGGTATGATCGTTGTGTGTACATGTATGTACATGTACTGTACGTACTGTACGTTCGCTGTGTGTGTGCATGTATGCACGGTACACGTGTTGACGTTGCATGCACTGTGTACAACTTGCGTCCGTCTGCCATTGCGTTTCGTTTCGTTCTAGTGGCGGACTGATGTCGTTGACGTCCATCAACAATGTCATACAAGGTAGCAGGTAGGGAAGGGGATCTGAATGTAGACAAAGGATTCAAGAATTCTTGGAAATTTTCCTGGCTGGAAACCAAGGTGGACAGAGAATCAACCAAGGGGAAATTGATATATTATCGTGACTTTCTCGTCAAAATCGACAAACCTGGGTACTGCAAGTGCACGTGGTGTCACAAGTAATGCAGTACTTATCTGTATGAGACAGTTTTCAGTTTCCATAAATTGTGATAGAATTTTGTGGATCACTGATAACTGCATGTGTGTGTATTACACTTCTAGGTCTTTGATTGTCACCAATTATAGCTTACATGTATAATTGCAATTGAAGTGAATGAGGACGAGGGTTTTGTTGCAGTAAATGTTATAATTGTATCCCTCAAAGTAAGAACAGCTCTTGTGGTGGCTTACATGTAGTACCAGAATCTCCTCCTATAATCAAATAGATATGCCGCGAATTGTAGGGAAGCTGTGGCCAACGCGACTTGCAAAACCCTCCGACGAATGTTTCCTGGATTTTTCATTTTCCCCAAATCACACCCCCTGGTACCAATTTGTGCCTAAGAAATTCACTGTGCGACGACGGTATTTCTGTTTTCAGTGAATGTTGATGAAGCTTTCTTATTTCTCCTCCCCCCCCAGACCTGAGCGCCCCCGGCGTGAGAGTGAAGGAGAAGGAAGAACAAGACACAGCAGCTCCAGCTCTGGGAAAGGAGGGCCCAGGCCAAGTAAGCGTTTGTTTTTGTCCAGGAATGTCAGAATTGGAATAGGGAGACCAATTGAGAAATTGTGGAGTGCATTTCATGGATACATTGCAGAGCATACCACGTTCCACTGAAATGTTTGGAGACTACTTTCATGTAGGATTGTGGGTGAGAAGATGAGATTTTTGGTAAAATTGGGCCTTTGTGTAGGCACTGGTGTTGAAAGTTCATTTCATGCTTTAAATGAAAAATAAATGAAAAATGCGTTTCAGTTTCACCCCAAGATGTCATTTGCTGTAATATTGTCAAATAAGAAATACCTCAAAAAATTACCATCAAATTATTTGATCATTAGTTGGGGAAGGTCACTTTTTGAATCCTCTAAAGTAATAAATAATTAACAAAATGTTTTGGCCGCAGTCATCGCAAGGAGAGAGAGTGAGCGCTCAAATGAGGATGACTCTACTTTTCACAAAGAAGAACCCTTGTCTCCCACGTCCCCCACGGCGCCCAAGTCCCCAAAGACCCCGATCTCACCCCGCGAAGAGATCAACCTCCAGAATGTGGTGCCGGCACCCCCGCCCAAGGAGAACGCCTGGGCCAAGCGCAGCGAGACGGTCACTTCTCCCCCACCAGTGCCGGCCAGCTCAGTGCCCTCCGGTGCGCCGGTGCCCCAGCAGACGTCGCCCCCTGCCAGGGAGACAGAGGTCCAGAGGCACAGAGGGGAAGGCAGACAGGAGCCACAGTTATCATCGCCTGATGGCACCAAGCAGTACCGGGAGGCGGGGCCGCCCAAGGAGAATGCCTGGAAGCGAGATGGGAGGCCGGTTGGCCGGGGAGAACGAGGAGGTCATGCCAGGAAACCAGGTGAGACCGTTAATGCCCCTTTCTACAGTGGTCTGTGTAACAGCTGGAGCGCGCTAAATCTGCACTTTGAGTCATCTGTCAGCTGCACGGATTGGACAAATTCATCCAACCATTTTTGTTATCCCAAATGATTTTCAATTCATTTCGAATTTGTGCGAGCTAGGCCTGTGC